CGATGCTACCATGAACGAGGTGAGCAATAAACGTGATCGAGAGTGTGTCTTCTCCGGTGTGAGGGGGCGAGCTGCCCCCGGTCACACAACTTTATGTCATCCAGTCCGAGACTGGTGGGCGCCATACCGCGCCGCCGTCGAGTGTAGATTACTAATTAATAGTTAAATCTACGATGGTGCGCATACAAAATTCTCCCTTTTGGTCCGACTACATTCGTCGTCCAATGCCAGCCGTCCAAGTATGGACGGCGGCGGTCCGGAGCGTTCTTATTGGACGAAATGGCTTTCGCCACCTCATGGCCAAAGGCCCTATGATATGCCTATCTTGGCAATCTCAACATAACCTGATGGGCAATCCTGTACAGGAGGACAGAGTACTGTACAGTACCGTTACTGTAAATCTATTGCTCTGACTGGGAATGTTGCCTGCGTAGGCAATTTTTGATGTGTAGGCATACGGTATCTCGCTTGCTCGCTTTGCTCGCTTTATAGGCAGTTGTTTCTAATTTTATCTTTTTGCGGGCAGAGTACGGTAAGTCTATTGCTCCGACTGGAATTATTGCCTGCGTAGGCAACTTTTGATGTGTAGGCAGGCGCATACGGTATCGCGCTTTGCCGACGTAGGCAACTTTTGATGTGTAAATTTAGGCATACTTTCGCAGCGTAAAGTTTGCAGTATTTTATGAGAATTGCCTCTACAGCACGGATCGTACTTGTATGTGATATAATTTTTGCCCGTTCTAGTGTCTAGCCGACAAGTGACCTCAAATGAGGCCATTTGACCTCATAAAAATAATAAAATAAGTTGAACCTCAATCTCAAATGAGGAAAATTGTCGGCTAGACACTAGATCCCGCCACTCCTGCACTTCCACACTCTGCACTGTACATACTGTACATACAGTAGTATAATAATGAATTTGTATACAATTTGTTTGTACAGTAGCATGTGTACTGTACCTTCGAAGGTACAATGATATTGTACTGTACGGGAGCTCCCGTATACTGTACAGCAAACCCTGCCTACGGTACCGTTACGGTACTGTATCTGAATCCCTTGTAAGTGAAAATCGAGTATGTATAGTACGTATTCGTGGTCACACGGGGCAAGAGGGCCGATATCTCTGATATCATATCAGCTCGAGGGCGCAGGGAAGGCCCAAGAGTCGCTTCCCCCACCCGCCCCCTGCTCATTGAAATGAAGGGCAGGGGGCGGGTGGGGGGAAGCGACACAACAGTAACTTTAATTTAAAGCGGTAAAGCGGTGCAGTTTGCATCCAAAATCTCAGGAGGTAGAATTTTAATGGGAGCGAGATCGTTGCATGCTTCAATAATGCGATAGCACATCTCGGACCATGCGCCCTACCCTCCGCTTCGAGGCGCTTGTCCAGCCCTCGACCTGATATCCGCCCTCTTGCCCCTTGTCACAACGCAGACGTATCTGACCGTAACTTATGCTTGCTACAGTACTGTACACTACCTTTTGGTACCGTTCTGCGTCATGGCCATACAGCGTGCTTTCCTGCGGTAAACCGCTAGTCTGTGATGTTTGTGACACCAACTGCATCACTATAAATACCGGCCTTTGTCTCAGCACTAGCACCACTCCCATCCTCCTCACCCACCTTTCTCCGCAACCATCTCCCAGCACCACTCTCTCACACACCTTCCAACACCCATCTCATCTACGCAGAGCATACCACTTCTATTCACTTTCAGCATGGCAACCCGTTTCATCACGCTCTTCCTCGCACTCGCCTTGGTCCTCAGCCTCGCCGCCGCGGCTCCGAAAGCTATGCCGCGCGCCGTTCAGGACGAGGGGAAGATTGGCCTCACCGAACGCCAATTCAGGGGTTGTGGGGATTTCTGCGACGATGATCTTGACTGTTTCGATAGCTATTGTAACAACTGCGTCAACAATAGATGCAGGCTCTAGAGGCACGCGCAGTGTCGAGCTCTGGGGTGATGGGCTTGTGTGCTCGTCAGTTGCGCCTTCAGTCGCAAGTCGACTCTAAGACATGGATTCCCAATAAAATGTTGCGATGTTAATCGCTTTCGTTGCACGAAAAGAGCAGCCATTCTTTTTCTATCGCATCCCTACAGCCTGCCCTGCCAATGGGTTTGAGCCGATCTTTGCATAATAATTCATCTCCTTTCATTCAATTTTTCTTACCGTAATCGAACTTGGTTTGGCCATTCGAAAAGTGTTCTGTGTCTTGTATTGCTCACAAACTCTACTCATCTTTCTAACGCCCTACTGCGACCATATGGCATGAGAGTGCAACATATGAAGATGAAGACATGTCGGCGTACAGTACGCAAGAGTGACTAAAATCCCCAACCCCCATACACTGGTACCCCTCCACTGTTGCGGTGCACATAGGTGGCATACGTGCGACTTGGACACACTCTCCCCTCGACGAAGATGAATGTCAAATAAGCGGACGGATGAAATTGGAAAAACGAAATTGGGAAGGGGGTCCTGCCAGAGTCATTGCGGATTAGAGACAACAACGAGCAGACATGTGGATGGGGAAGAGAGCAGAATTGGGCTCGGTGCATGATGGTGCTAAAGATGAGCGAGCGCTTCGCCTTGTATCCGCAATCAGTTGATGCCGACGATGGAAGTGGGGCTCACGGAACGGGGAGAGAATCACTGGGATGTGCCAAATTCACAACTAGTTTGGCATTCAAGCATAGCGTGTAGAACTGAAGTGATAGGTTGTATAGGATGGCAAAGGAGGAGGGCTTCAGAGGATTCCGGTTCCTACCCGGCGTCAAATGGAAGTGGATGTTGGGCGTTATGGCGTCGTATTCCGTTGTGGCGAAAAACATTTGCCGACTTGCTCAGTGTTGATTAAGCTGCAGTACCCAGCGTACCGTTGGATATCAGTCCCGATTCTTTCCGAGAAACCTATGTGAAATACCAGGGCTCGTAACCAGTCTGTTGGCCGTTGGTGAAATATTATCAGCGGGGTCGACGACTGCATCTCGAATTATTGATATGTTGGGCTCTCGCTCCGGGCAGATCGAGGCAAGAACGAACCAGTAAACAAGATTGAATTTTGTCACAAACCTTGGCAGAGCTCTCCCGTCCGACCGTGTGCGCTGTTGTTCTCATCGACTCATGTTCCGCCAATAGAATTGGCGTAGGATCCCCGAACGCCCACTGTCGTAGTTCATGACTACGAGAAAGGTCGAAGGAGCTTACCGACACGCTGAAAATATACCCGCCGTGTTACAAAGGCGTATCTGGTCGATCTTTGAAATGTCCAATTTGGTTAAGCACTTCAGGATTGGCTTTTACGATTTCGTACAGTTTTGAAAGTCAGTCGTGAAGCACGTCTCCGAAGATGAGGGATTCAACTCTCGTCGGTCCGTTCAAAATCACCGCTGGGATATCTATCCCAGAGGTGATTTTGAACGGACCGGTCTTCATAAAACCAAGCAGGACCCTCGTGTACTTGGAACAGGTTACTGTGGAGCTTCCCAACGTGGCAATGCACCCTCTCGAGAGAAACTCACAACACATACTGCGGACCTTCTGGAGCGCGGTCGAGCCCATGCGTCGCGCGTCCCAAGCACCAGAAGCGGTCCATCGCATGTGGACCGACTGTACGACTGACGAGCGCAGCACATTTCTCTTGTACGACTTTCAGTCCAACTCCTTTGTCGCTCGCCCGGGTCCTAGTCAGCTCACTTCTGGGTCTATGAGGACCCGTACGGGCGTGCGGACTGAAGCTCGACAAGGGCGACGTAAGCGGTACCGCGATTAGGACGCCGTGCCGCCGCCACCCGTGTTCCTTGGCTTGAACCCTTTTCGCGTTCCTCTCATGCGGAGACTCCACCGCCTCACATCGTAGGCGGTTCTTGTCTCCATATTCCCTCCGCTCCAGGCGCTGGAAGCAGTCAGCCACGACCCGGCGGGAGCATCGAGCGTGCGACATCTCGCGTTGTCTCGTAGGCGCTGCACCTTACTTCTGACTCGCGCAAAGTTTAGTTCATAGAGCCGCAAAACAAACCTAAACTCGATGAAAACCTTACCACAACCCATCTCGAGAAGCCCATGTATGCGACCAGGATGAACCTGCCTGGGCCAAAATTAACAGAGCGACGAACAGGGTGCTCTCTTGCAATACGCATGAGCTCCACACATCGAATTTGTTGTGCGTGTTCGGGCGAGACGCTGAGGGAGGCGTCTCGAGTGTGTGTGACGGTAGAGGTGCGCACGAGCGCGAGGAAAGTGCGCAAAAGCGCGAAGCAAAGTCTTGCTAATGACAGGGTGAATGCTCACCGATGCATAAGGGTTTTTTTTCTTCTGATGCTCCGGTACATGTACCTTGTCTAGTGTCTAGGTGACAAATGACCTCATATGAGGTCACTTTTCAACTTATTTTTCTCGACTTGTGCTAGCTCAACAAGATGGAAAAAAGATACTCTCGACACGGCAGTTGACTTCTGCGTTGTGGAAGGGTGGAGTTTGGTGAGATCTGCATGTCTTCTCCAGCCATTTTTAAAATGCCCAAAAAGGAGCCTTTTTTGACCAACCTCAAAACGTTTTATGTTGATATCTTTGAAACCAAAACGCCTGTTTAAAAAGTCAACTCATCATTGATAGTTCAGTAGATTCTTAGTCTCTCTGTGCATTGACAACCGCCATCCCAATGTTTTCCAAGATGTTATTGCCGAGCGCGTATACGTTAAAGAAGAAATGGTGTCCAAACTGAATGTTTTAAAGTTTCGATTTAATTTATATATTTTTGCAAAAAAAAAGCTGGCCTCATATGAGGTCAAATTGCTTGTCGTCTAGACACTAGAGAGTCGCGATCAGGAGAATAGGTCCTGCGCGGTCATCCGCTCCGAGACGTTCTGGCCCTGGCCCCGTCTCATTTTTGCCCCTGGTGTTGCGTCCATGACTCAGCTCGCCTGGTATGCCGTGTTGTAGCGCATTTTTATTCGTTTAAATATCATTGGTGCGCCACTGCCAACAGTGGACGAAGCATGATGGAATCGCTACGGGAAATACCTGTCACTGTAAGTCCAGTTATGCTTGTGACCACGTCTTTCCAAAACTTGCACGGACGTTTATAGTTTCGCCTAAAATTTCCGCAAACGTTTTGACAATGGTTTGCCGATTCTTTTCGGTTTTGTGGAAAAGTGGCTCATTTGGAAGATATCATTGTGATCACCCACAAGCCAGGCCACAGGCCAGGCCACACCAATTGCCGTAGGTAGCACCATCAGAACAGAATAAAAGCTCGCCGTCGCTCGGCCCGCTGGCGCGAGATGGAGCGAGGCACGAGGCTCTCTTCGTCACAGGTCATGGGCTCCCATGCAACCACTGCCCCCCACCAGTCCACCACAACATTCCACCGATCCCCGCGCCCACAATCCAACAACCAACAAACACACAACACGAACACAGCGTGCTTAACAACGCGCCATCAACAAAGAAATCAACGAACACATCAACCAGCTACTACGCCAAACACAACTCAACGAAAACGATCAACATCAACCAAAACACACAACACAACAGCGCACCATGAACACACTCGAGCAACTACCCAACCTCATGTACTGGTACTACGCCCTCCAACTCCACGCGAGGACGATCGAAGCCGCACACATTCTTGAAACCGACCCAGCACCCACCACAGACCCATCGATCGCGCAACAACACGCCAAACAAGCCGACCAGCTCCACAAGCTCATCATTCCTAGCCTCCCCCCCGCGATTGTAGCACTCCTCCCACCCACCATTCTCCGCCAATCCCCCCGCCACATCTGAACCCTACTCCGCGAACACATCCACGACGCGCATATAGAAACCCACGAAGTCCTCGACGCCGAGGCACTTTCTAGAAAACTCCTACCTGGTTCTGATTTCTCTGCATTCGTCGACACACACATCTCAATCCGTCAGAAAATTATCAACGCTAACTACTCCAACATTGCGCAAGAAAGGACAACAGTCAGCTACATGATACAGGGAATCAGCAACCACCCCGATCTCGTCCTCGTCGCTGTAATCCTTGCGGGCACACCACACGCATCCATCCGTCAGTTCACCAACCATGTCCGCCAGGTAATGCTCATGCAGAACAAGCAACATGACACTACCCCACAGCAACCCGCATTCCCCAAACAGACACAACAGCCACCGATCATGCCCCATCAACCACCCCAGAAGCAGTACCAGCCACGCCAACCCTACCAGCAGACAACGCAGCAACGACGCAGCCCGAGGCAACCCTGGACACCACGAAACCACCAGAGCCCCAAAGGATGGACCGGCAAGTGGTGCAGTCACCACGGCAGCATCACCGATGACACTGAGCAGTGCTACACACTGCAAGGGATCCGCCGTCAGCCATACAATGCCAACAGTATTTACGAAGACGACATGCAAAAACAGGGGGACATCCACACACACAACAACACCAACGACACGAACACCCAAGAACTACAACAGAGAATCGAGCAACTGGAACAAATCATAGCAGCACAGCACGCGGACACCAACACCCCACCAGGTAAGCTCCACTTCCTCCTAGGCTCCGCCGCTCACCCCACACACGTTACCCATCCACACCATGAACTCCGCCCATCCACCGGGAAACTAACCCGCACGGCCACGGGCCAACACTGCCCCATCACGCAACACGGCAAGATGACAATATCCACGACGCCTAAACGCGTCGACACCAATGCAGTTTGCGCACCTCTCCTGCGCCACAGCTTACTGTCCGTCCACGACCTCACACGCCACGGCCATGTCACATTCACGCAAAACGAAGCAACCCTCCACGCGCCAACGAAGCTACCATCACCGCTACTCAAAGCTACATATCATCAAGGTTTCTACCGCACCGACACCGGCACCACGCACGCGTCTCCCAAACGGGCCATAGGCAACGCTACTCAAAGCTACATATCATCAAGGTTTCTACCGCACAGACACCGGCACCACGCACGCGTCTCCAAAACGGGCCATAGGCAACGTGCTAGCCGCCCGAGGCACACTCTACAACAGACAACAACAACAGCAAAATATACTCCCATCACCTCCAACACCACAACGCCCCAAGACCACACCACTCACCTCCAAACCCACGAACCCGCCCAAAGCAACACACCGCACCAAACCAACCAAAGTCAACATACCCACACCATCACCTCACCGTATCAGAACAGCGGCACACGAGCCGCCAACAACACCACTAACCGCCGCGCGCAAACAAATGCACGAATGGCATCTCAAGCTTGGGCACCTACGCCCCAGATCCATCGCAAAAATGGCCAAACATGGATTAATCCCCATCCTACCGCGCACACTGCAAACCAGCCCACCCAAGATATCCTGCTCCGGTTGTATCGATGGCAAGACGGCCGCCACCCCCCACAAACGTGCGATGCATACGACCGCTGCAGGGCAAAGCCTGTCATCTGATGTTTGCGGTCATTCAAGTACAATCTAAGCTACAATCACGTAGTAAAAAACCTCGCACATACCCTCTGGCATGGTTCGCCCCCGGCGATCGCCAACCTCTTCATCTTTGGTCAACTCGGCTCGGTCCCCATCCTCAAAAACCCCAAACACAAACTCCAAACACGTGCGCACACAGTGCGATACATGTACGGCATCGATGTTACACATATCAAAGTCTACAACCTGGCTACACTCAACTACCAGACTGTACGTGCCAGCAACTTCACATCCTACACCAAGCGCAACGACCCGGCGCTCACTACAAGCGCTGCCTTCACCACCACACAACGCCGCACAACCATCCCACTCACGATCACACCTGCAACACCTCCACCACGCACACCACAACAAGCGCGAAAATACCCTGACGCAACCGAGTGGGGCAAAGCACACAACGCAGAATTAGACCAGCTGGATCTCACGCAGGCAATCGACTGGGATCCATACAAACACCTACCGCCAGGAAACGAAATCATCCCGATGACCATGGCATACAGATACAAACCAACTACCAACGACCCAACAGCAGTCACTAGGAAAGCACGACGCTCAGTGCGCCGCGACCTCATGATTCCGGACATCCATTACGACCCACTCAAAGTTGCCACATACATGGCAGAAAAGTCAACCGTACGCATCATTTTTGCATTAGCCGCAGCGCACGACATGCACCTTAAACACTTCGACATTACGGGTGCATAGTTGCAAGAAGCGTATGACCACACAACGCCAGTATACGTCTGGCAACCCAAACGGTTTGACGGTTCTTACAAGCACGAAGTTGCTGCAGGGCAGCTCAAAGGCAACATATACGGCACTCCACCAGCCGCCCATACGTACTCAACCAAACTGTACCAACAACTCAAACAGCACGGTTACACCCAAACCAAATCCGATCTTTCCCTATTCTGCAAGCGCATGCGCAACGACGTCATTCTCATCGCAGTAAGTATGGACGATTTTTTGGCAGCTGCCAGCACCACAAAGCTGAATGACGAATTCTACAACACACTCCAAGTCAAATACAAAGTCAAAAGGCTTGGCAAGCCAACATCGTACCCCAATTGGAACACCTCATACACGCCAGCAGGCATTCACGTCTGCCAGCGACAGCACATCCAGCACGTAGCGCAATACCTACACATGGAAGACTCCATACCACATCAAACGCCATACGCTGACGGTGCCAGCGTACACCCACCGACACCGACAGAAACTTCAGATGACAAAATCACCGCACCATATCGTGCAGCACTTGGTGAAATCCGCTACATTGCGGACTGCAGCAGACCAGACATCAGTTACGCCACAGCAGCGCTGGCACGAGCAACACAATGTCCCACTCAACGCCACTGGAACTTCCTCAAAAGGACCGTCAGATACCTCATCGGCACAAAGAACCACGGTTTACTGTTCCCCCACCACAACACGGCACCCCTCCTCATAACATACGCTGACGCTGACTTTGCCAATGACCCCGTCTCAAGGAAATCCATCTCCGGTTCAGTATACCAAATGCACGGCGCCACAGTGCACTGGCGTTCCAAGCAACAACCACTGGTAGCCCAGTCCAAGTGCGAGGCCGAGTATATAGCAGCCGCCGAAACTGCACAAGACACCGTCTGGCTCCGCAACATGCTCACAGAGCTGGGATACACACAAGAACAGCCCACCACCATGTGCATAGACAATGCTGCAGCAATCACCATCGCGCGCAACACGGCACGGACAAAACGGCGCAAATGTATCGACATTCGCTACCACCTCCTGCAAGACCTCTTACAACACCAAGCTTTGTCCGTCAAACACGTGCCAAGTCGGCGCATGTACGCTGACATCATGATCAAACCACTAAAACCTGCACTGTTCGAAGAACACCGATCCAACCTTGGGATGTACCCAAGCAGCAAACAAGTCCACTTCGAACCAGACCCCACGCTCATTGACCCGCAAACCGCGCGCCAGGGGGACTGTGATGACGCACAAAATGAAGATCGTTGACGCGCGATTCACGGGCCAATCGCCCCATCCGCCCCAATGCTCCAGTAGCAGGTGATGACCCACAAGCCAGGCCACAAGCCAGGCCACACCAATTGCCGTAGGTAGCACCATCAGAACAGAATAAAAGCTCGCCGTCGCTCGGCCCGCTGGCGCGGAATGGGGCGAGGCACGAGGCTCTCTTCGTCACAATCATTACAGCTAATCGAGCTGTTCACAAATTGCTTACGTATGTTTCTGAGTTTCGCAGAAAAAGTTGCTCAAACTTTCGGCAGCACTTTGGGAACCTTTGAAACTTCAGAAACATTCAGCAACCTTTTCAAAGATGCCGGATCGCATTACAGCTCCGATCGAGGGTGGATCGAAATATTCCATCATTGAGGCCTTGCTTGCAGGATCCAACAAGGTCCACCACCGGGACCAATGGGAGTGCCGTTTGAGGCGAATATCAGAAAAATCAATTGTCAACCAGGATTTTACGGAGCCATGAGCCCTGGTAATTGGGACCAAATTTGTATGGCTCTGGATCACAGACTCTGGTGCCCAGGGCCATTATTGGGACGTATTCTCCGGAATGCGACTCCTAGAGTAACTTATGAGA